GTGTTGCAAACTGGATCCTAGAAAATCACCAGAATGGATTAGCTGTAACAAGAAACAGTGTAAATGGGCAAAAAAAAAAAAAAAAAAAAATATGTGAAAGTGAAAATTTTAAAGCAACTTTGAGCTGGTGTAGTCAATTTATGCCATGGAATAATTTAGTTCTACGAGAAAAAACAAAAGTTTCGCAAAGGCTTTTGAAAGATTTGGATAATAAATTGATTAGTTTCCAGAAGTAGTTGTTGACCTACAAAGGCAAAAAAATATTATCGTCACATATTGGAAATATAGATGAAATTCCAGTAATGTTTAATATGATAGGAAATAAAAACAACTGATGTGAAAGGAACAAAAATAGTTCACATAACAATAACACATCATGAAAAATCTCACCTCACCATAGTGTTTTCCTTCTTAGCTGATGGTACAAAATTAAAACCTATAGTTACATTTAAATGAAATATGATGCCGAAATGCAATTTCCCAATTGGAGTTTTATGTTCATGAGAAAGGATGTATGAACAAAAACAGCATGAGACTGTTGAGCACACTGTTAGATAAGAAACTGTTGAGCACGATGTCAGATAAGAAATGTTTGGGAAAAGCATTCTGTTACAATAAGGAATCCAGGAAGTCTTTTAGTATGTTCAGATCCCATCTAATGGATTATATGAAGAAATTGTTGAAAGAGCGTAATACAGACATGGCACTTATTCCAGGCAGATTAACAACATTAGTTCAGCCTTTAAATGTGTGTATCAATTAACCATTTATAGACTACTTCTGGTTGACTGTTTGATAATAAAATCTAATTTGTTTATAAATTTTATGACTCAATTATAAACACTATTCATTTTATACTATTCCACAGAATGGACAATGATAACTATACGTGCTGATGTACACATTCTTCCTCATGCTTAGATCTGAAAATATTGCATCAATTGTATAATGTTTTGGATTCACAAATCAATGACTTAACAATTTCAAAATTTTTAAGCAGCATATCTTTAAAATTTCTGAGACAGTGTTAAGTATTGCTATAATTTTTTTTTCTGTTTTTTTATCAGTTTATGGTACAACTGTTCAATTTTCTTAGTCAGAAGTTGGTCAAGTCTGTCAGTCTGAAGTTGGTCCGCTTATACTGACCACAACTTCTTTGTTCGTCTTTTAACTTTATTTAAATTTTATTAACTATGATAATTTTTTTGTACTTATGCCACATAAAATTCAACAACAAAATCTTGAAAATCAGCATTTTTTTTATATATTCACTGTATTATTTCTTTAACAACAATATACAGCAATAACAAAGCATCTTTATCTTGGTGAAAGCATCTTTATTTGAAAAGTGATTCGACATAAAAGCGAAATGCGTACAAAATCGAGAATTGAGGGTAATACATTTAATTGCTTCATTACAAGACCTCATTTTGATAATGAGTTTATTCTCACTCCAATTAGCATAATTCCAAGTATATATTTAATGCTTATAAATGTAATATATATTTGACTATAGTTTTTTTATTAAAAACTTTAAGTGAAGCACGAGTTCCACTTGTACAATTTTACCCAAAATCTAATCAAGTCTTTATATGACCACAGAAATTTTAAATACAAAAAATACAGATTTTTGTAAATGTTATCACAGACAAAAAAATTGTCACACACACAGACATACCGATATCACACCAAAAATAGTAAAAATGTGTTGTGTAGATTCTAATTCATGCTTATGCATTGAAAACTCTATCAGATATTTGAAATGAAATCTACTTCCTATCCTCATGTATAGATTCGTGAGAGGTAGTAAAATAATCTCACCCTTTTAAATTATCTGGCATAATTCTTCCTTTTTATTTTTCTGAATGCTTGACAAGCACATTTTTTATGAGAAATCCTGTTAAACACTTTTTTCATTGACCAACTATTTCACAGTCCTGACTTAACGTGATTAAATCAGTCAGGGCCACTGCGGCCGCACTAAGTAGCAGAATTTAAAGGCTGCAAAATTTTTAGAATTCACAGGAATACCAAGCAGAAAAATTCTGGAATGGTTAAAAGTTTCAGAATTTATGGGAGGTACTAGGCAGCAGAATTTAGAAACATCAAAATTTTTAACCAAAATTTATGATCTGCTAAGGTTACACTGGGTGGCAAAATGCCTAGCATTAGCTCTGAACCAGTTCAGAGCCATAAGCACAGCATTATTTATTGGTAGAGATAGCATGTTGAATATAGGTGGTAAACTTCTTGATTTCAGACTCAATACCGTCTTCATTGCTGATTCTGGGATTTCCACAAAATGTTATTTGAAATGATTTTTTCCAGTATTGTGTACCAATACTTCTGCCCAGTGAAAGTAAGTAACTATTTATGTTGATTTCAAGAGTGATGGGATTATGGTGAGTTGAGAGAGCTGGAAATAACAGAAATTTGGCAATTATAGTTGAGGTTGTTGGATAAAAAAAGTAAATAATAGAAGAACTATTATAGCTGAAATGCGTAGGTTGATCAGCGGCATGAATGGTATAATTTTTGTTTTGAATCATGCTAAAATTTTTTTATCCTTTTCTATTGCTAGCTTCTTGATTCCAGCATTGATGCTTAGTGTTAAAATCTCCTCCAATTAAAGCAGGTGAGTTAAAATCCAGTAGCCGTTCAATTTTAGAAATGGTTGGACTATTATTAGGAGGTATATAGATATTAGAGATAATGAATTTTTTTTACACAGTGTGAATTTTGATAGTATTGCTTTCAAAAGAGGTAGAAAATTTTTGTTACAGTTGATGTTGGATGCTCCTTTTAAAAAAAGTGATGATTCCACCACCACATCTGGTTTCTCAATCCTCATGATAAGTAGAATAGTTAGCATAAAGCACTTTTAGATTTCAAATGCGTTTTCTGTATAAGAATTACATTAGGTTCGAGTTCCAGAAGATCACCAAATTCGTCTTTTTTGTTAAATAGGCCATTAGCATTCCATGAAAGAATTTTGATGTTCCTCAGATTAATACAATTAATAATTTTGTCAAGAATGCCCACAATTGCGCCTATTTTGTCTATAGGCGAGATTTGTTTTTTCATAGTTTTGAGGCTTTCTATAACAGTCCATATTGTTTTTAATGAACCCGAATTAAGTAATTCTGAAAAAGTGGAGCTTGTGGTTGGGTTCTTAGTATTTTCAGGCTCTGGAGAACACATTTCTTTGTTGAGAGGTGGAAAGTTGTTGTCTTGTAAATTCCAAGGATTTTTTGGTTGGTGAATTGCTGGGTATGAACTTCTGGTTGGTTTGTTGTGGTCTGGCTGGACACTGGGAGAAGTTAGTTGGATATGAGCCACCACAATGACAGCAAGTGGCAGGCTTATCTTTGTCAAGTGGGCAGTTTTTAGGTTCATGATTTCTACAATGCACACAAACCCAGTCATAAGTACATAAAAGTGAGCTGTAGAAGTATTGCTGGCAACAATAACATTGTGGAAGACAGGTCTCCATTTTAAGGTTTCAGCAGTGACAATCATATATCTGATGTGCTTGATGTGATAAATGTTTCTTGATGCTTCAGTCTTAGGAAGATGAAGTAAGAAACCTTTCTGTTTCTCATGATTGTGATATGATTAATGGCAAAGCCTTGGTTTGTTAGTTGGTGTTTATGGTCACTGGTAGGCTTCTGATTATGATTTTAATCACTTTTTCTACAGGCAGAAGAAATGTATGGGCTTTAAGATGCGTTTCTTCTATGACTTTGTGAATAAAGTGGCGAGTCAGCATCAGGGGGTTCAATTTGTAGTCTGTATCCTTCAAAGCAGCCTTGCAAATGAATTTCTCGTGAGACCTCTGACTGCAGTCGACGCTGCGGCTTGGACAGAACACGTAACGACTTATACTTGCCGGGAAGCAGGCACAGCAGCTGTAATCCAAATGTAGAACGGCAGATGTGATGCTGATATCCAGATGTATAAAGGCAGGTGTGCGTTGAATCAACCAGAAGGAGGAAGCGAAGCAAAGCAAACAGTAATCTATACCAGGAACAGCAGATGAGACGAAAACAATCTTCTTCTACGACAGCACAAGCTCGAATCTGTACAACATAGAGATGTACTAAAAGCTTCAACTGACATGGTAGAAATCAGAAAGATTTCTTGTTTCTGTGATTCCTGTTTGCACAGTTTCCAAAATTTTCTCCAATTGTGTGAAATCATCAATCTTTACAACACCCTGTTTCAAGGAATATTTTAAGGGGATTGATGCGGCACTGATTTTTCAGAAATATAAGGAGAGGCAAAAAATAATAATAAGATGAAAATGTTAATAAGAAATGGAAAAGAAATATCCATGACCTTGGAATTGTCACATGAATGAAATCAATAGTGTATTGAAATGAGGGACATTGAGAGAGATAGTGAATTTAGCAATGGACTAAAAAAAAGCACTTCTAGTCTCATAAAATAATATCTATATAATACATTCTTCTGAGCATTATGTTGAGTTATACAAAATTGTTTAAAGTAAACATTCATTACAAAAAATAATAAAAAAAGGTGACTTAGCTACAAATACTACACATGCGAAACAGCTACTAATTGTATTGCAGCATTCATCAAGCCACTACAAATGTGAACAACTCATAAACATATTCATTCTCTTAAAAATATTAACTTTTATGTCTGTTCTTACTGTGGTAAAAATATATTTCAGGGTGCCTTTTGGCAATTGGCCAGCAAGGCATAATTTCAAGATAGCCATTACACAAAACCAAAATAACAACTCAAAGAATTGGACAAACTTGGTGTCCATGTACACATTGATCTATTTTCACTTAAAAAAAAAAAAAAAAAATCAAGAGAATGATGGCATCATATAATGTTAAAACAAAGTTACTCATCACCAAAACTGAACAAAATTTGTAATTAGTGTAAATTTTAGAACTGTTGTAACATTTTATATAAAGTCAGGTACAAAAATAATAAGATAATTGCTAGAAAACTCTTACAAGACTTACAAATCCATATCACATCATATCTGAAACAGTTTCTTACACTCTACTGAAGATGCAACTTCAATTGAAACAAAATTGAAAATCATCATGTATGATCACCTTCAACTGGTCCATCATGACTTTCAAGATATCATCCACACTTTCATAATAATGGCCTCTCAGATGAAATTTTAGTTTGGGGAAGAAAGAAATTAAGAAACTGAGAACAGATATATAGACTGTACATATTTTGTTTCTGTAAAAATGAGAAAAATTAGAAACACAAATAACAAATTATCACATTATGACATGAAAATTATCATATGAGATAATTTATGAAATCATACTCTTATCACTGCTCTCACCACATCTTAAAATAAGCAACAGATGTATTTAATACCATTTGCAGTTCATTCAAATGAATGCAGAATAACCAAACAGATAAAGTATACTACATAATAATTCAATACATTATGCACGACTCATTGTTTTCTAAATGTATAGCCCACCAACAGTTGTGCAGTAAAATTGTTCAACTCTGGCAGTTCCGACCTGGATTAAATTCCAGAAAAATGGGCTGGATGCATGGGTGTTTTCGTGGTTGCCCCCATGTGTAATGTGCATACCAGCCAGTTTCTTTTAGAACCACCTCCACAATGGCATTCCTCTCCTCAGGCAGACAGCCCTATTGTGCTTTGATATAATCAACCAAACATAAATTTTCTATATCTGCATAATGCAATAGGAGTCAATTCCCCTTAAAAATTTCTGTTTAAAGACATCTCTCGGTTAATCTTCGGATTATGGTAACTTGGCGATTTTTTGGCGACCAACCCTGCTAGTTTTTTTTTTTTTTTTTTTTTTTTTTTTTTGGACGCCATTTTGTTTTCACAAAAAGGCATTTTTTTTTTTTTTTAACTCAACATTGTTTTTCAACAATCTGCTAGCCGAATTACGCTTATGCTAGAACTTTTATGGAGCAAAAGTGATTAATCATGATGAAGATTAGGTGCGAAATTGGGAGAAAGTGCAGAATTGAACACTGCTTGCAGCATTTTTAAGAATTGCACACACACGGTATCATCCATGTACACGTCGACCAATTTTCACTTAAGAAAACATCCCAGAATTGGACAAAAATGGTATTGCGCACACTCTTGACTTTATCCATGTACACTGCTAAAGTCCTAGCTAGTAACCTTTATCGCCTTACCAAAATGTCACCAAACTACCAGTTACCATATTCTAAAGATTAGCACATATTTCTTAAGGCAGATAGTATTTCAGTGTTAAGATAGAGAGAAATCGATAAAAAGTTTAAAATTTGATAGAATTTTCCCCAAGCATGAACTTGATTTTTAACATTTCAGAAGGTATTTAGTATGAAACTATTTCGTTCGAGTATATTTAAGGGTGTCCCTTGGATTATTGCTAAGTTGTTGTTTCATTTATGGTAGACCTGAGTAGTTGAATGCTATAGAAACCCTATTATGATTAATTGGTTGCATGATTGTGGTAAATTTGTATGATGGAAAAAGCTTTGTAAGGGCTTGCGCACAACATGTTGGTTAGGAAGTACATAGGTTATTTTCACGGTAAAGTGGCAGGATTAATTTGAATTTCCGTACAATTTGGAAAAGGGAAAAAAGCATTAACTAGTGTATAAATGAAAGGTTTACTTAGTAGCCATTATAAGTGCCTTGTTTGTACGAAGGAAATGTGTATGGTCGAAAGTCAGAGGATACAGGCACTATGGAGAATATTTTTTACTCTTGTGAATTTATGTGGCGACACTAGTATACAGATTCTAGTTCAGATAATTTTAGGAAGTTTTTGGATGCTGTTAAGGAATTTTGTTTGACTGAAGACATGGAAATTTCTACATAAGGTAAGTGAATATTTCCTTTGTGTAGTGCTAAGATGAATTTCTTTTTTATGTCATTTCATTGTTTTATTTAAAATGCAGTTTATTGAGATATATTTTTTGTTCGGCTGTAGTGCAGAATTGGCTGCTCCTTTGATTTTATGTGAAAATAGATCAATGTGTACATGAACTAAGTCAAGGGAGTGCACGATGCCAAGTTTGTGCAATTATCCAATGTTTTTTTAAGTGAAAATACGTCGACGTATACATAAATACCGAGTTTGTGCAACTCTTTTACTTGTTATTTTGGCTTTGTGCAGTGCCGATTTTTGGCATATCCATATACAGCCAAAAATTGCCAAGGGGGACCTGTAAATATATTTTTAACAACTATTTTTTTTTCATATAAAAAAATTCTGAGTGCTGCTTAAAAAGGAATATCTGATTCTCTCAGAATGTAAATAAGCCAACATCAATCTAAAATTGGATTTCACTTAAAAGTATAAGATCAAGTTAGATACCTATAATTAATATTTACTTCTACTTTAGTCAGTTATTAGATTGCACAATCACTTAAAATACTGAGCTTATTATTTATACCTAACAGTTTATATAGTATTATTTATTTATCATTATATTTGTAAATTTTATCCTATTACAAATAGCTTACACATTAAAAAAGCATGCAATTAAGTAAATTTACACAGTTTTAGATAAAACAATCATACATTAAGAAATCCATTCTAAAAATTGTTACTGAAATGAATTCATAGATTGCTAATTAAAAAAAAATGCTTAATTCAGATGGTATTTTTATAAAATAAGCTTCAAAGAAATTACTTAAGCATTTTAAAATACAGAATTAGAGAGTATTTATGAAGTACAGAGAGAGAAAAGAATTATATTTACTATTAAATTGACAATATTATTCATTACTATATTCTTACATTATGCAAACTGCTAGACATAAGAAAAAATTAAAACAAATATACTGTAAGCTTAATAATTTATAAATTCTGTTAAAAAGCTTTCAAAATATATAAGATCTCTTTTACTAGTTACAAAATGTAAAAGTTATTTAGGATTGGATTGGATTATTTAATTATGGCAAAGCACACGAAGGCTATCTGCCTAAAGGGAGGAACGCCTTCCTGGAGGACTTTCTAAGGCAAACTGGCTCGTACACACGGGGAAAACCAGGAAAACACCCATGCAGCCAGCCCGTTCGCGGGATTCGAACCTCGGACCGAACTACCAGTGTTCACCGTCTTTAACGCTCGGCCGCTAGTGGGCAAAAAAAGGTAAATGCAACGAGTTATTTAGTAAACAACCAAGCAAAGTTAAGTTCTCAATCTAGATGAATAAAATTCCAGTTTATAGTACTCGTTTTTTCCTTTGCCAGTAAATTATAACCTATAAAAGCAGCAATTAACTTCGAACTAGCATATTTTTCTAACGATTCTCGTCTTCTAATTTGTACTCATGAGTAGACAAAAATATCTTTTATGAATTCGAAAACTGAGTTAATCCATAAAAGATAAACACATCAACCGTGGATTTATTGCAATTAATCTTGAAATTAAGTCAGATCACTCAACACCTCTCACCCTCCAGATAACCATTTCTAAAGAATCTTCAATATCTATAGTAAAATGTACTTAATAACAATCACCAGAGGTTAATGCAATAATTACATTTACACACGCCTTAACTTTAGAAATAAAATCATTTTGCGTCCCCACACATAACATGCGCTAAAATTGCGTAATTTTTATTTGGTTGAGAAGCTATAAAATTTATTCTATTTGTTATGTTACTATACATAATACACATTCCGAACACCGCACTAATTTCACACAATAATAGAAAACACTTTAGCACAATTACGCGTTCCGCTTTTGTAATTCAACAATTCCGCTATTGCCATTTTTCTAAATATAATTAATTGCATGTTTTCAACAATGTTTTCTACTTGCTTCACTTCGAATGCATTATCATTCAAAGTTATTATTTTAAAAATATGGAAATTTTTAATTTAATTATTATATTTTATAAATTTATTTAATAATAATAAAATTTAAATTAACATTTAGAGAACTGTAGCCGATTGTACTAAATGTTGTATTAAATGTTAATGCCGTCACATCAAAGAACTTTCGGGAAGATATTTTCATAAGAACCTTCCCAAAAATATGTATGTCTGTAATCATATTTCTTCTAAATAAAAATTTTTACCTTTTTCTTATTTTGAATTAAAATATGAAAATGATCACTATGATTTGGAACTGATGAAGAAATTTCGTGATTGATTTCGGGACAATTTAAAATAATGAATTTTCTTGTTTTGTTAAGGCAAAACCGTTACTTTATTTTTTGAAAATTTGCTGAACAATTACAAGAAGTCGAATTTTTTTATCACTAGTACTGTGTTTATGAATATGGCAACTGTGATGATGTTGATATATTAGTTAAATTTAGGGACACGTTATTAACCGGACCTCTTCTCGCTCCTCCCACTAAATGGCACCCTCTCATTGGTTATAATGAATGTCAATCACGCATGACGTTCAGATGAAGAGTTTTGGCTCCGGGTTACTAGAAGAAGTACTTTATGTTTGTCATAGTAATGAAGAGCAACTCAAATGTCGCCAATTTGTCGTGATTTTGGGATCTTCGCGCATTTTCTTTGTTCTTTACTGAAATTTTTTGTTCGTTGTTGTTCGTATGCAGACAGAAATTTTCCATAAGCTAATCACTAATTTTAATGCTTTAACGTATTAAACGCTATTTTATAAGGAGAAGCATTTACAGTATACTCTGAAATATTTTTTAATCACTTAATACTATAACAATAATTCGTATCACTGAAATAATTTTTCAGTATTTCCTGAATTAAGTTTTTATCAGGATCATCAAAAGTCTTTCGATATGAAGCATGGTTTATTAATCTTTGAACAAATGTAGTTTCAAAATATTAGTCCTAATTTTATTTTCTAACATACGTTATCTTTTCTCAAATAAAATTCTTAAATTGTGAATGATCAGAATAGCTATTACTCTACACCGATTTCAGCAGGTTTTTATAACACAAAACAAGTATAATAATAAATGTTTAATAATTTTAATTTAATTTGATCCTGTGTGTAACAGATATGCAGCAACAAAATATCCTTGATTCAACTTACTTATGTAAACTTGTCATTGTGATATATAAATTATACTTTATAATTGAGATTTTCATCAAATTTCTATGCACCTCATACAATTAGTTAATAATAAGTAAATGGTGTATCATGTTGTATATGGTTAAACTTTGTAAAAAATTAAGAAATCATATTGCATGGTTTCAAATTATAAATAAACTGTTTAAATCTCCTTTAATTAGCAAATTAAAATGGTTTGGATAAATTTATGTTACTTTTGTTTTGGATAAGTAATTATCGTTTCTTTTAGAATTTTCTGTTCAATAGCTCATTTTAATAATTAAACATATGTTTGATTTGGATCCCATCAGTGGCCAAGCAGTAAAGTTACTGAATACTAATAGTTGATTGAATACTAATAGTTGACCTGAGTTGGATTCCAATCGAAAGGGTTGGCTACATGAGCATTTTTGCAAATTTCCAATGTGTAACTTGGATACCAACCAGTTTCCTCTAGAAAGTCCTCCACAAAAGCACTCCTCCCTTTTGACAAATAGCACTCACATGCTTTGCTGAAGAATTTTCTGTTGAATAGCTAGCTTCATTTATAAAGCAAACTGAACTATGTTTGATTTGAGATTAATTAAAAAATGAAAGGCAACTAAAAGCTAATTATCATTTATTTTAATTTTTTAATTTTTCTCTTCAAGTTAAACAGCAAAATACAACTAATAAGTTAATATAGTATAGAAACTAATACATAATGATCATACTGGATATTTTCTGGGCACTTGATATAAGAAATACAAAAATAAACTGTTGATTGACTCCATAAAAATAAACAGATTTAAAGATTTTATTCCAGTTATTGA